CGCAGATGAAGCTGAAACATCCGTTAAAAAGAGAAGGAGAATAATTGTGGAAAGCGACTCTGAAGCGGATTTCGACAATAATTTACCCTCTTGTAGTAACAATAATAATATTCCAAATTTTCTTCAAAAAATGGGCCATGTGGAGAAAATCCATAAAACTATTAGTGTAAATAGTGAACTAACAAATATGTGGAACACATTCCTTACGCAAGGGTTAGAGGAAAAATCAAGTGAGGACATTTTAAAAGCATTCCCAACAGTCAAAGATTGCCTTACATTACCTCCAAACCTCAACCCAGAAATAAAGTTTACTCTGTCACCACAAGCGTTGAAGAGAGATGAACATATTTGTCATAAACAAAATATTATTGGGTCTGTAATTTGTGGCCTTACAGAAATATTAACCAATATGCTGGAAAAGAATACAGACAGTGACACAACAGAATACATAGGTAATTGTATAAGACTTTTATGTCATGTACATTAGAAATAGTCTCAGACTCGTAGAGCGGTCATTTTACCTTTAGAAAAAACACACATCACCAGTTATTTATTAAGAAATGATATTACAAATATATTAAAAGAAACCAAGAATTTAGAGAACTCGGCTAAGGACCTGAAGCTTTTAAACAACTGGGGCTCGTCCTCGAACAGGAAGCAGGGCGGACGAGACAATACCAGACGATACAACACCAGACAAGATAACACCAGACAGTTACAAAACAAGCCTCCGACAGTGAAGTATACTGTGAAGTAACGCCATCAACATCAACGACAACAACGACTACAACTAAGATCATTGACAAGAAATCCGCCCAGGACAGCACAACCACAGTGGCATCATCAGGAATAGAGGCAAGTTATGCTGGCAGATTGTCAAATTACTATAAAAATTGGTTTTTTACAAAAAACACAATAGTGTTAAATTGGATAAAGAATGGATATTCTATACCATTGTCTAACATAGTATACCAATCTCAAGTGCCCCAAAATAACTCTTTTTCAGATATTGAAAAGCAAAAAATCTCACTAGGTTTAGATGAATTAATAAAAATAGGTGCAGTTACACTAGAAACACAGCTATTACAATATCAATATTTTTCAAAAATATTTACAACTCCAAAACCAAACGGTTCCTCCAGATTTATTTTAAGCTTAAAAAATTTTAATAGATTTGTGCCAACGTTGCATTTTAAACTATATATATATTAGGACAGCATTACATCTTATTGATAAAAATTGTTTCATGGCATCGCTTGATTTAAAAGATGCTTATTTTTTACTCAAAATTCACAAAGAATCTAAAAGATATTTAAGATTTTATTTTAATTACAATCTTTACCAGTTTAATGTCCTACCTTTTGGTTTATCCACAGCACCTTATGTTTTTAACAAAATAATGAGACAAATAGTTTCCTACCTTAGATCAAAAGGGATAACTTTGGTAAATTATCTTGATGATTTTTTTTTATATCAACAACTGCTAATGAATGTAGAAATAATGTAAATACTGTATGTCAATTTCTTAAATCATTAGGATTCATTATAAGTTATGAAAAAAGTCAATTACATCCTAGCAAAAAGTGTAAATTCTTAGGTTTCATATTAAATAGTGATAATATTACAATAAGTATTCCACTAGAAAAAAGAAATAAAATAAGGTCTAAATTATACTCTATTACACAAAAAAGAATATGCAAGATCAGGGAGTTTGCATCTCTCTTGGGTTCCTTAACATCAATTTGTCCTTCCGTCCCATATGGGACCGGCAGAGCCACCGACGTCTGATGCTGAAGCAGGTAGTCCTAAGCGTAGTGTATTTTTTAGCGCCAGAGATGTAGGTAAAGTCATTAAGTGCATGGTGAGAGGCAAGTCGCCTGGGCATGACCAACTCAGCATCGAACACCTGCGGCATGCTGGAGTTCATTTGCCAAGGAATTTGTCTTTGTTATTTAATTTGTGTATTGGGCATTCATATCTCCCTGACAAATTGATGCGAAATATTGTTATTTCTATACCAAAAAACAGGACCGGTGACGCCTCTGATGTGTCCAACTATAGGCCCATCTCCATTGCTTCTGTAATTGCTAAGGTACTGGACAGTTTGCTTAACGGGTTTCTGGATAAGCACATCTTGCTTAATGATGCTCAATTCGGCATAAGACCAGGTTTTTCCACCGAGAGTGCTATCCTGTGTCTCAAGCAGACTGTCCAGTATTACACAGCAAGGAAGACACCTGTGTTTGTATGTTACCTGGATTTATCAAAGGCGTTTGACCTAGTAGCTTACCAAAGCCTGTGGGACAAGATGAGATCTGTAGTGCTATTCTGTAGATAACTATTTCGATATCGAGCTTCACCTGAGTGACAAAGCTCACGTCGAAAGCGAACCCGCTTGACCTTGATTTGGAATTCTGTAAATATGCGTTACGCACTTGCGAAGTGAAGAGCGTCTCGAATCCGAGATCAATAATCTAGTTGTGTTCGTTTTATCGATATTCTTTTCGACTTACTTTATTTTAAAATATGTGCATGACATTTCTACCAATTCGGTATATAAATTGCTTTAATACTTCAAATATCTAATATTTGACAAAGAAATATTTATTTTTATTGAAATAAAGAAAAAAGAAACATTTGCATTGGCTCTATGTTGTTAGATTCGTGCCTCGAATAAAGATGTTTTTGTGTACATACAAGCCGATTGACGTTTAGAAGCGATTTCAAGTTAAAATATAGTAAAAAGTTTGTTTTAGTGTTCCGATTACTAAAATACTGCATATACCATGAAGTAAGTATATACTTTTGTTATTAATATTAGTTTCTTTGTAACTTAGCCAATCCCTGCTGTAACATTAATGATTTCGTTTTAATTATAGCTCTGTAGAAAGAGCGGCTCATCCCTCAACGGCCCAAATTCACGCACTACTAAATTTTTTGGAGATGAATCTAAGCCTTGCAAAAGGTTTTTCAAAAGTTCCCAGTGCAATGGACACAGCCCGTAAAAGCTGGGAGAAACTGGCGCTTCAACTCAATAGTTTAGGGGGCAGTGTTAAAACCTTGAAATTACTTTTATGTCATAGTAAGTATACATAGTTACTTAAATTTTAAATAAATCTGTTTTAGTACTGGGCTGATAAAAGAAGTGCTGTTAAGAAGAAGGGTGCATTACGCTTTAAAACTAGAAATAAGACTAGTGGTGGTAAAGAGATGGTGGAACTTTCGGAGATTGAAGAGAGAATATTAGCCTTAATGGGTGGCGAAAGTTTTGCCTCTGGTGACAGGCATTTAGAAATTAATCCATTTTTTGAAGTAAGTTGAATTGTTTTTACTTTAATAATATTTTATAAACTGAGACAGTTTTAATGTATTTACATGTTCTTTTATTAATTTTTAGGTCCAGGCTGGAAAGAGTCCTGAAAATAGTCCCTCTTTGCTGGCTTCTACCCAGTTAATAGGCCTAAATCCATTACCGTTACCAATGGTAAGTTATTTTGGCTAACACAATGATTAAATTATCCCAACTTCTACAGTTACCATACAAAACCAATATAGTATTATATTTTATTGATTGACTGTCTGAAATCAAATCATGTAAATTTGCATAGTAATTAAATTTTTAAAATAATACGAATATTAAAATAATACAAAAAGTGTACAAAAGCCGCGAACGGCGTGTGCGATATGCACTTAATATGGGTTGGAGCTGCACTGCCTCGATTACCTCAAATACTACGCTTTTATACTAAATAAAATAATCGAGTCAGCGCTTTTAACTAACTAGGGTTGGACATAACAGAGCCCTCAAGTTTAAAGTTTTCGGAAAACAAATTTAATATATTACACGAAATGTATGTGAAATTTCGCCAGTCGTACTACAACTGTCCCGCAGACCCATTGCTTGATTTAAGTAGCTTTAAGGAGAAGGCTCCGCTATTTGTGATAGATTGTTCAAGACAAAACGACAGTCTAAAAACGGGACCAGTAGATGTTCGTTTGGAGATTGAATGTACAACGGCAACACCTAAGAAGACAACTGGATATTGTTTAATCATTAACGATCAACTTGTGGAATATAAGCCTTTAAGTAACATAGTGCGCAAGTTGACATAACTGCTATCGTAGATGTCCAAGGTTTCAAAACAGAAAGAAATCAATTCATAGTGAAAGAAATTGCAATATTGTGTAATAATAAAATACAACGACTTTTAATTAAACCACCATTTCCTTTTTACAAATTGACTGTAAAAGAAAAGAAACATGTAAATTGGATTCAACCCTTTATTCCTTTATACCCTTTACTTCCTACAGCAACTCAGCATTCCTAGTCTATTAAGACTGCGTCACAATTAGAGAAACCTCGATATGTAATTTTTTGTTTACAAAGAAACAGAAAAAATCAAAAACTGAAAGACTGTTCAGTATTTGATCACTGTGGAGTGAGAAATGTGACATTGTTTTTGAATTCACAATATTACCCATACGAGCCCTTATGTTTAAAGTTTTCCGAAAACAAATTTAATATATTATACGAAATGTATGTGAAATTTCGCCAGTCGTACTACAACTGTCCCGCTGTTGGCAACACAACATTAAGTTTTTATCTGTATCAAAACGCTCCAGAAAGTTCGAGCGCTGCGTTTGAGTGTTCTGGAAATCCAAGTTTGGTTCAAGCATAAAAAAAAAACAACCAACTGTCGGTGACGCCGAGAGTGCTTCGTCGCCGCGCCAGGAGGACGCATCTGATTGGCTCGCGTCACATCACGCGTCACATCGCGACACTCAGAAGAGCCAATCAGCGACGGGCGAGTCCATCGAGTTCGAGAAGCACGCGTCACCACGTGGCCTCGCCGGCGCGCCGCCTCCTAACGAGCATACAGCATTCAGTTTTACAGAAAAAAACGTGTTGCTTCGTGCTTGTGCAGTCAGATAATTTCAGTTACAACCGAATCATATTGTTGTAACAGCAATTTTACAGTGTGCGAAACAAGTTTTCAACAATGGATGGCGAACAAATTAGAACGCTCGTCAGGAAACGAGCGTCCATTAAAGGTACTCTAACTAAAATTGAAAACATGTTCAAAAACGAAGAGGATTACAAGGAGTTCTCTAAACAAGCGTTAGTCCTAAAGGAAGAGCGTCTTCACGACACATTCAAAAAGTACGAAGACTATACTTTGGAGATTTGCGCCATAGATCCCGACCTCGATGATGGCGATGATGTAGAAGAGCAGTACAGCAAAACGCTCACCGTCATCAGAGAATTATTGGAAACAATAAATTGTGAAAAAAGTTGTAAAAACGAGTGTGTTACAAAAAGTTTCAATACAAAGTTACCTACCATAAATGTACCAACGTACTCTGGTAAGTACTCCGAGTTCAAGCCATTCATACAACTCTTCGATTCACTCATACATAACAATCAAAATTTAGATGATGTGCAAAAGTTTTTCTATTTACGTAGTTTTCTGCGAGAGGAACCTCACGATCTGGTCAAAAATCTCACATTGTCTACTGAGAGTTACCATGAGGCCAGGAAAATTCTAGTTGATAGATACGACAACAAATATAAAATTACAAATGAACATATACACATTTTGTTAGATATTGTACCTATATGTAAATCAACAGCGAGTAATTTAAGAAACTTTGTATCTATTGTTAAGCAACAATTAGCTGCCTTAAAAAACCTAGGTCACTCAGTTGATCAATGGGATCCAATAGTACTTTGCATTCTGACTAGAAAGTTAGACTTATTGTGCAGTAGGGAATTCCAATTGGCTCGAGTACGAGATCCTACGGTTGCGCACCTTATTAATTTTCTAGATAAGCGTGCACTTGCACTCGAGAATGCTGTGCGGCCACCGGAGCGATCCCAGCCAACTTCAAAGGTGGCTCACGTTGCAGCTGTGAAGAAAACGAATCCAGACACAGGTGCTGCTGCGGAGACTGTAGGAACAAGAAGCTGCTTACTCTGTAAGTCCAACCACAAGCTTTTTACTTGTCCACAATTTAAACTTATGTCTGCGAGTGATCGAATCAAGTTTGCCACATCTAACAAGCTATGTGAGGTTTGTTTAAATAATCATAGTAAAAAATGCAGATATCACTTTAAATGCAATGTCTGCAAAGAAGGGCACAATACATTGCTCCACGAAGATAAAGCATCGTCTCCAGTAACATTGATGTCTGAGGCAGCCTCCGAGCAGGTACTATTGCCTACAGCACAGGTAAAACTACTAGCGAGCAATGGTACAGAGGTTCATGTCAAGGCTCTTCTAGATACTGGATCACAGGCATCTTTTGTGACTAGAGAACTTGCAAATCTATTAAAATTACAAATTGATACAGCCAACACTCCAGTTATTGGTATAGGCAATACCTTAAACAAATTAAAGGAGAAGGTCCATTTGGAAATACATTCCCTCACTCAGAATTTTAAAATATCAGTCACATGCTACTTATTGGACAAAATAACTTCAAAGTTACCACAAAGAAAGTTTGACTTGCATAACATAGTTTTACCTTCCAAAATTATGCTAGCTGACAAAAGGTTCAATGAGCCAAGTGACATACACATTCTATTAGGTGCTGACATATTTTTCCAGATCTTGCTGCCGCCTGAGCCTGAGCTTCAAGCTCTTCCATCCAGCTCGGAGGCACCTGATGGTAGTGTCACACCTAAGGCTCCATTACTAAATACAAGACTTGGTTATGTAATTGCAGGTAACACACCTACACAACACACCGAACCAGTCATTACTTTATTTTGCAAAAAATGTGACTCTGATTTAAATAATTCTATTGTTAAGTTTTGGAAGTGTGAAAGTGTTCCAGAGACCTTCCCAGAGGCACATTCTGAAAATGACTTGTGCGAAAAGATATTTTGTGACAATGTCGAGCAAGATACAAAAAATAATAAAATACAAGTAATCTTGCCACTAAAGTTACCATTAGATTCAATCAATCAAGCTTTAGGAGATTCATTATATTTAGCTTTAAAAAGATTTCATAACTTAGAACATAGATTTAAAAAAGATTCTAATCTTTTTATGCTATACAAGGAGTTCATTCATGAATATTTAAAGCAAAAACATGGTACATTAATTGATATAAGTCAATATAACCTATGCACTGACCCAGTGTGCTTTTTACCACACCACCCTGTACTTAGGCTAGATAAAAAGACAAAAAAATGCCGGGTTGTATTTGATGGGTCTATGAAAACAAGTACAAAAACATCTTTGAATGATTTATTACTTAATGGTCCTGTAGTACAAAAGGAGCTGGTAGATGTCTTAATGCTATTCAGAGTTGATGAATATTTTTTTATAACAGACATCAAAAATATGTTTAGAAATATAAATATACATTTAACACTTTCGTCTGGAGAGACTCTCCAGACGAAAGTGTTAAATGTATTCAATTAAACACAGTCACTTATGGCTTAAAGAGCTCAACCTATTTGGCAACTCGATGTTTGAAAATGTTGGCTGAACAACACCACAATGAGTACCCTATAGCTGCTTCTATTTTAAATAATTCCACATATGTCGATGACATTCTTTATTCAGAAAAGACGTTGGTTGGATTGTCAGCAGCAAAGGAACAATTATGCAGTTTGTTAAGCTTAGGAAGTTTTCAATTACACAAATGGGTTTCAAATTCACCAGACTTGTTAAAAGAAATACAAAAAGATCAACAACATTTTGATGAGATTGATCTAGAGAAAAATAACACTTCTTTAAAAACACTACGTATGAATTACAATATTAAGTTAGATTCATTTATCATATCAAGCCCAAAAACTGTTAATAACATGCCTCAATCTAAGCGTGAAATTCTTAGCTTCATAAGTGGATTCTACGACCCACTAGGTCTTGCTGGACCTATTGTGGTAAGCGCAAAGGCTATAATGCAATGCTTGTGGCAAGAAAAATTGGACTGGGATTCGGTGCCAAATTGTGAACTGCTACAGCTTTGGCACAAGTTTTATAATAGCTTGCTTACAATGCAACCAATGCGTATACCGCGACACATAAGTGTGCATGACATAAGCTTTACACAAATTATAGGGTTTGCTGATGCATCTAGCAAAACTGGTTATGGCTGTTGTGTATATCTAAGAGTCGTGGATTCAATGGGTAATGTCAAGACATCCTTGCTTTGTTCGAAATCACGAATAAATCCTATTAATAAGAGTTTATCAGTTCCTCGACTAGAACTTAATGCAGCTCTATTGCTGGCAAAGCTTGTCAGCAGAGTTCATCACATATTAACTGTTAAAATGCAAATACAGGATATTATAATTTATTCTGACTCACAAATAGTATTAGCTTGGCTCAAAACTAACATTAATACACTTAAAGCTTATATAGCGAATCGCGTTAAGGTTATCTTACAACTTACACAAGAGTACACATGGTCATACGTTAGCTCGAACGAGAACCCCGCCGATTGTCTTAGCCGAGGAGTCATGCCAAACGAGCTAGCCGATCATGACCTGTGGTGGAAAGGGCCTGCGTTTCTGCGTTCACGTGAGTACAAGACACAATTAAATTTAATTTTGCCACAGGATTAACCAGAGGTTAGCGTCGACTCTGCATGCTTAAGTGCAATGCTTTGTACTACTTCTGGTGAGCAATCGTTACATCTCGATTTTCTTGAAAAATTTTCCGATATCAATAAAATGACGAGAGTTTTAGCTTACATCTTACGTTTCGTTCAGAATGCAAAGTCAAAATCAGTCTCTAAAAATAAACTTAATTATATTACAACTCAGGAACTTGATCTGTCATTGTCAATGATTCTAAAATATGAACAAGAAAAATATTTGTCAGAAGATATTCATGCCTTAAAATGTAAGAAAACAATTGTTAAAGGTAATTTAAAGCCATTATGTCCGTTTATCGATGATGGGGGGTTGGTTCGCGTGGGCGGCCGATTACAAAATGCCTCCATTCCCTATGCACAGAAACATCCCATTGTCTTACCTAAGGACTCCCGCATCACCAATTTAATTATTGTAAGTGAACATTTAAAAAACCTCCATGCGGGTTCAAAGCTTGTTCTGTCATCGATAAACCAAAGATTCTGGATAGTGAACGGTCTCAGACAAGTTAAAAAAGTGTTACATAAGTGTACTGTTTGTTTTAGATTAAAAGCTGAATCAGCAAAACAGTTAATGGGTTCTTTGCCACCAGTGAGGGTCAATGTATGTCGCCCCTTCCAAAAGGTAGGTTTAGATTACGCTTTAACCGATACCACTGAAAATAGCCAGGATCAGAAAACCTATAATCTCAAAAGGTTATATTTGCCTGTTTGTGTGCTTTGTAACAAAAGCTATCCACTTGGAGCTAGCCACTGATTTAAAAACAGAAACCTTTATAGCCTGCCTAAATAGATTTATATCGCGACGCGGATTGCCTACAGACATATATAGCGACAACGCTTCAACCTTCAAGTGCGCAAAGAACCAATTAAACGAACTACATAACTTTCACAACTCGCCAGTTCACCAAAGACGGGTGTGTCAATATTCAGCTCAAAAGAGGATTAATTTTCATTTTTTACCTTGCTATTCACCAGTCTTCGCTGGATTGGCAGAAGCCGGCGTTAAAAGTGTAAAGTACCACTTAAAGAGAGTGTTACTAAAGTCCATTCTTACTTATGAAGAACTGTATACAGTCATATGCCAAATTGAGTCTAGTTTAAACAGCAGACCTCTCATGCCATTATCCAATGATCCAAATGATTATACTTGTATTACTCCAGGTCATTTCTTAATAGGAACTGCTTTAAATACTTATCCTGAGCCCAATGTAAACATAACAAAACAATCTCAATTTTGGAAAACTTGTAATGAAATAAAAATGTCGTTCTGGAAGGTTTGGAGTAAGCACTATTTAAATTTGTTACAATCTCGCCCTAAGTGGCAAGACATTCAACCTAATGTAAAGGTAGGAGCATTGGTGATCCTAAGGGATGACAATTTGTCACCACTATACTGGCCCCTAGCCAGAGTCATAAATACCTACCCTGGTAAAGATGGAAAAGTGAGAGTAGTTGAAGTCAAAACTGCTAACGGCCACACACATAAAAGAGCTGTAATGAAAGTTTGTGTTCTACCGCTGGAATGCAGTGGTGCTGGCTAATAGTGATTGTCATATAAACAAAAAAAAAAAGGTTGTACCTTTACACTACATTGTTTATTATGTAATTAATATAATTAGTTTAAGTTCATTTAGTTTAATAATAATAATGATAACGTTTTTGTCTTATAAACAAAACAAATGCTGTACCTATCCGTTACATTGTTTAGTACTTAATTACTTCAATTAGTTTGTTAATTCGATTAATGTCAATAAGATAACATTTTTGTTTCTTGTCCTTTTGTTAATACTAATATCTTTATTACCTATATTGTCTATGTGAATTAATAGGGTGTTTCAATGTTTGTATACTTTAATAATAAGTACCTATCATCTTAATCTTCCAGTTGCCCCGCCAATATGTTGACAACACAACATTAAGTTTTTATCTGTATGGGAAAAAAGCCCAGAAGCTATTCCAAAAATATTAATTGTCTAATTTTATCTGTCAATGTTACTAATATCATTACTGTACAAGAGAATTATTACACGGAGCACACGCATTTTCACCCGATCTGCAGTTTTATTATTTATAAACAACTAAGATCCCAACACCCGCAGACCCATTGCTTGATTTAAGTAGCTTTAAGGAAAAGGCTCCGCTATTTGTGATAGATTGTTCAAGACAAAACGATTGTCTAAAAACGGGACTTGTGGAATATAAGCCTTTAAGTAACATAGTGTGCAAGTTGACATGACAGCTATCGTAGATATCCAAGGTTTCAAAACAGAAAGAAATGAATTCCATTTCCTTTTTACAAATTGACTGTAAAAGAAAAGAAACATGTAAATTGGATTCAACGTAATAGAAATATATATTGGTGTGAGGGAGTAACACCTTATTTAAATTATCAGAATACATAACATACATAAACACTCACGCCTGTCACCCAGAGGGGTAGGCAGAGACTACGGACTTCCATTTGGCGCGATCCTGACACACCTCTCTCGCCTCTTTTACATCCATATATCTACGCATACACGCTCGTCGGTTAAGGGTACTCCTAATCTGGCCCATTTTTAATGTATCGCCGATTTGGTCGATAAACCTTCGTCTAGGGCGTCCCTTTCCGACCCTGCCGTTCACTTCCGCAACATAAATTTGCTTTGTCACTCTTTCCTCGTTCATTCTTTCTACATGACCAAACCACCGAAGCATTCCTTTCTTAATCCTTGTCACAACGTCATCTTGCAAACCACACTTTTCTCTTATCACACTATTTCTCACCCTGTCATTCAGATTCAGCCCTAGCATACTCCTTAAGGAACGCATTTCTACAGCATTTATTCTACTCTCATGCTTCTTCTGCCAGACCCAACTTTCACTACCATACATTAAAGTAGGTACTAACACAGCATTATGAATTGCCATACGTGCCTTAGTTGACACATTCTGACTCCTCATAATAGCGTGTAGAGCCCCATTCACTCTATTTCCTGCGTTCACTCGTCGTTCTATATCCTTATCATATCTACCATCCCTGCTAAATAAACATCCCAAATATACAAACTCATCCACTTGCTCAATCAACTCCCCTTCTATTCTTATTTCACATAAAGTTTTACTTTCTTCTCTTTCAAAAACCATCACTTTCGTCTTACTTGCGTTCACTTTCATACCCCTTTCTTTCAATGACCAATTCATTAAAGTAACCATCATTTGCAACTCGGCCGCCGACGATGCAAAAATGACTTGATCATCGGCGTACAAAAGGCATTTGACGGTTGACTCACCCATTCTCAACCCACATTCTTCAACTTTCAAAGTTTGCAAACAACTGTCCATAAATAGGTTAAACAGCCACGGGGAAGCCACACATCCCTGTCTGACACCTTTATGAATGCCAAACCAGTCCGAGTAGACCCCGTTGATCCTGACACAAGCACTAGAGTCCCTATAAAGAGATTTTAATGCCTGTATCAAGCCAGCGCTCAACCCAAATGAGTTCAGTGTTTGCCATAACACATTCCTGTCCACTCTGTCATAAGCCTTTTCCAAGTCCATGAACGCACAAAAAACTTTCTGGTTTTTAGTCAAAAACTTCTCCGCTATCATGCGCATGGAAAAGACTTGATCCGAACACCCCATCCCCTTTCTAAATCCAGCTTGCACATCCCAAATTTTTCCATCAGTTTCTTCCATAACTCTTTCAATTAACACCTTAGCATACAGTTTACCCACAATGCTAAGCAAGCTGATACCACGGTAGTTTTTACAGTCCTGCTGCGACCCCTTTCCCTTATATATTGGGACTATAACGGCTTTGCACCAGTCTTCCGGTACCCGTTTCAGTTCCCAACATAAATTAAACAAGGTGTGCAGCAGGCCCGTAACCACACCCTCACCAGCCCTCAGCATTTCGAGTGATACTCTATCATATCCAGCTGCCTTACCTGCTTTCATGCTTTTCATTGCTTTCATTATTTCATCTACACTTATCTCCCTACCTCTCTCCACTTCTTCGGGAATTTCTATTTCACTTATTCCAGACGACTCTTCACTCTTAAACACGCTTTCAAAGTATTCTTTCCATCTCTTTAAATTCGAAACTTCATCATTCAGCATACAGCCATTCTCGTCTCGTATAACATTTATTCTAGGCTGTTTTGAATTTCCCCTGGCGGTTCTTACAAGCTTCCAGAACATTTTAATATTTGCCTGGAAGTTATCAGATATCCTTCTATCATTCTTATCTATCCTTTCTTGCTTTTTCCTTTCAACAACTTCTTTTACTCTCTTATTTATACGTCTAAAGTCTGCCTTTTTTCTTTCAATCTCATCATTCATACCGCCAGAATTAACAGCTTTAGTTGCTAGTAAATCTAGCCATGCTCTCTTTTTTGCTTCAACTTCCATCCGTACCTCATCATCCCACCACAACGTATTACTTTTCCTTTCATTCGTTCTCTTACTTACACCGCATACTTCGGTGGCTGCATCCACCAAAACTTTCTTAATATTATTCCATACATTCTTCAATTCTAAATCATTCATACATAATTCATTCAACCCACTTATATTTTCCCTCAATCTGCATTTATACTTCTCTTTCACACCTTCATCTTGTAACCTCTCTATTCTTATACGCTGTAACGCAGTGGTAGACACCGATGTCCGATGCCGCCAACGTCTGAATAGACCATTAATTCGGCATAAGACCAAGTAATGATCCGTCCCTACGTTGGACCCCCGGTAAACCCTTGTATCTACCACTGCGCTCCTCATTCTTTCATCCACAATTATAAAATCTATCATGCTTCTATCATCCCCTCTTTCCCATGTATACATGTGAATCCTCTTATGGCGAAAGAAAGTGTTCGCCACAAAAAGATTCTTTTCCACACATACGGTGAGGAGGTCTTCACCATTCTCATTTATTCTTTCATCGCCAAACGTTCCTAATATCCTTTCATAACCAGACCTCTTCACCCCAACCCTTCCATTAAAATCTCCTAACATAATAATATTTTCATTTTCCTTACATTTCATCAACACCAGCCTTACCATGTCCCAAAACTGCTCTCGGATATAAGTGGGCTTAGACATATCTGGGGCGTACACCCCTAGCACAAACAACTTCTTTAAGCCCACTTTCATTCGCATCCACAGCAGCCTTGGGCTAACACATTCATACTCTCTCACACATTGACCCATTCTTTCTGAAAGGATGACACCGACTCCTTGGCATGCCCGCTCGGTCTCGTCTACTCCAGACCAGTAAGCGGTATACATGCCATGTGCAGTGACATCTCTTCCCTTTCGTTTCGTCTCGTTTACACATAACACATCTATTCCTCTATCATTCATCATTTCGCATACTTCATCCATCTTATCATTCATTGCTCCACATACATTCAGCGTGGCCAGACGGGCCTCCGCAATCCACTTTTCGCCCCCCCGGGAGACAGGACGTGACGGGTGGCGAACCTCGTCGCCGGTTTTTCTCCCGGAGATTCTTCGCACCCCTGCCCCATTAAAGGGGCGCCGGGAACTCGGGGCCATTTCTTTACCTTCTTGGCTCATGGTGCGAACTAAGGGGTGGTAGATTTTATGCCGCTACCATACGGCGAGGAGCCGAGTCTGTCGTTTCGGCTTTGTCGCTCGTTTAGCACCACCCGGGGGACACGTGTAGGGTGGGCCTAGGATTAGGTGGTCGAAGCCTACGGACGCGAGCGACTCATCCCCATTATCAGAATATGATTGCAGATAATATAAAGGATAAAGGAGAATGCCCATTAATGTATGGAATCCCGTACCATGTTGCATCAAAATCAAACTTTGTTTTCTATGAACTACACTGATCATATTAAATCCTACAAAAGTTATTTTTTTTTACAAAAACCCGGATTTTGAGTTATTTTATAAAATCGAAAATAACCTAAAAACTAGGTCTATTTTTTCGACACTACTAAAACCAATTTTAAATAGACACGTTCAACACAGACAAACTTTATGGCTTTAAAAACAGCGTTATCCACTAATATCAGTAAGAATTAAGAGTAATATCAACATATAGCCGTGCTACAGGATGCGTGACTGAAACTCGAAGATTTGTGCGTTTTTTGTTTTTGTTTTTGCGCCCAGAAGCAATGAAAAGGGCTACCCTCCGGGAAGCGGGAAGGGAGGTGGTGAATGCTCTAAGCATACCACGACAGCCGGCTGCGTGGTTATGTGGGACTCACTGCGAAACCTAAGTACCTACCCACTAAACACCACCTGTGAGACTGCTTGCTCGAGGCTTGTGTGGGCTTTGAGGAGGCCTATAATCAGCTGTGGACTTGTGAGGGGCTGTAATGATGATTACTGTGATTACACTACCAAACTAATATCAATATAACATAATCATAAGGGTGACCAGACTGAAAAACACGCTCATGGAGTCTAGAGAGCGTCTTGAACAATAACCCTTTAATAATCTTAAAATACTATAAAGCTGGGTACTACCACCTGCTTGGGATTATGTAATTCATAAAATTAAAACTAAACCCAAGCATACCACTGC